ATTGGCGGAAGACTCACGCGCGAGTGGCTCGGAAAAAGGAGCAGAGACCCACCCATGTCCTTTTCTACTCAGCTGACCCCCCAAAATTGACGAAACACCAAAGGGCGAAAACTTTCAAGGGTAAATGGGGTGCATCGACCGCGGTTTTAGGGACCGGAGAATTTCCCTAAAATGGCTTGTTTCGAAATTGGTTCACTTCACACCGCGAAACACTTGTGAGTTGTGCTTAATCGAGCGGAAATTTTGACAGTTATTTAAATTGGGTGATTTTAAGGAAAAAGAGAAAAGTTTATTGAAACGTTTCTCCTTTGTAAGTTTTAATTTAAGCCGTGGAGAACAATAACAATAAAAGCTCTGCTCTTGGCGTTATTTTGCGCCTATACAATTATTTCTTTTCAAGACAAAATACTTCTCCTTTTGCTTCTTTCTTTCCAGACTCTCGGCGAATCTTTAATTACTCTCTCTGGTGAAACCGCATGTCGGAAAGAACAAGTCGAAAATCTGCGCCTCGCGAGTCGCAATAAAATTTTAAGCGCGTGAAATTAAGCCCGGCGTTGTTGTCGACTGTATAAATCTAGCACCTCGCCTCGCAGCCCTTTCTTGATTTCGCTCGGCAAAAAAATATACCTCCAGCGGAGACGACGTGGCGGCAGCGGTGGCGGAGCAACCACACCTAAGTTAATTATACACACACAGGCAGACGTTGGATTTATTTCTGCAGCACAAAAAGTAGGGAAGGGTGAGAGAAGAGGAAAAAGAAAAGGCGCACGGCCGCTTCCTAAATTTCCCGTCACGCACTTCCAGGAGCGATCCAGCCCTGCCTTTCCTCTTTTCCTTCCTGCGTCAAATCAAATTTCATTATGCAAGTGGAAAGTGGATCATATTAATAATTAATGATATCCCCTTCTGAATGGAATTTTATACTTAAAAATAATAAAATAACTGAACTTTTAGTAGAATATTTATTGTGGTACCTTAAGTTTTATATATTATGTTTAGTTAAAAAACTTTATTACTAAAAAACTTTAATCCAGGGAATCTGAGCATGAGCTGCTCATGAGCAAGATTGAGCAAAATTTTGCTCATGAGCAGCCTTGAGCAAGGGTTTGTTGAGCATGCTCATGAGCAGATGCGATTGAGCACCCTCGGAGGTGAGCATGCTCATGAGCAGACAAAGTTGAGCACCCCAAAAGTGAGCATGCTCATGAGCAGACGAAGTTGAGCACCCTCTGAGGTGAGCATGCTCATGAGCAAACGTAGTTGAGCACCCCGGAGTTGAGCATGCTCATGAGCAGACGAAGTTGAGCACCCCAAAAGTGAGCATGCTCATGAGCAGAACTATTTGCTCAATAATATCCCCTCATCTGCTCCTATGTATTTTTCTCCCTGCAATAAATAGGAATTAGGAAATCATAAATACATAGAGAGACCAAGAAAATCCAGCGTAAGGTGCTCATGTATCGTCTCCAATACATTATCCCCGTACCCTTCAAAAACTTCAGTGGCCTTTAGCCGCTCGCCGACTGCCGCCGCCACCCTCTCGCTGCTTCCCCTCTATTCCTCTACTACATAGTTCCGCTCTGCCTCCTTTATTATCATGTGCTCCTGGCATTCATTCCTTTTTCAAAGACCCAAATAATCCAAGTATTTAGAGCGCAATTAAAAATTAATTACGTTGCGACTAAAAATAAAAATTAAACTTTCCCCACTTTACTTATAAATACATTTGACTATTTAAAATCTCAATTTTCTCTTTTTAATTTTGGATTTAAATATAACCTTCAGTATTATAATTAGAGTCTAATGAGAACCAACACATATTAATATTTTATTATTTTTATGTTTTAATTTTATGATATTTTTGGCCACTTTTAATTTATTATGCAATTGGATTATAAGGAGAGTAATACAGAAATTGTCTCCTCATATAAACTTGAGCATGAGCAAGATTGAGCAAAATTTGCTCATGAGCAGCCTTGAGCAAAGGTCCGTTGAGCAGAGCATTGAGCACATGCAAGTGAGCACCCTGAAAGTGAGCATGCTCATGAGCAAATGCGATTGAGCACCCTCTGAGGTGAGCATGCTCATGAGCAGACGAGGTTGAGCACCCAAAAATTGAGCATGCTCATGAGCAGACGTAGTTGAGCACCCAAATAGTGAGCATGCTCATGAGCAGACAAAGTTGAGCACCCAAAAAGTGAGCATGCTCATGAGCAAAACTGGTTGAGCAGATGAAAATGCTCGTGCTCAGAAACCCTGCTTTAATCAAATTAAATATTTTCTAATAAAGAGTTTTAAAATAAATAAATAAATATTAGCTTATTACTTTTAATTATTTAATATTCTAGTATTTTTTAATTTTAACATTTTTGTGTTTAGCAAATTTTTAAACAAGCAATTTGAAGCAGATTATAAAATGAATAGAATTCATTAGCTTATTTTTGTTATAAATTTTAACCAGTTATTATAAATAAGGCTAATAAGGTTATAAAATGATCATAATATGATTATCATAGACTCATCTGCGTAAATTATATTAAATATTAACAAGTATAAATTAAATTAAACATTATTCCAAAAAATTTTATTATGAAGCTAATAAATTAAAATTTTCCACTCATCATTGAATCATGTTAATAAAATATAACAATTGAAAAAAATCACAAAATTAATTGTATAATATAATAGTATTGGAAGTAATGAGGGCCATCCGAAAGCCTAGCCTAGGCTAAATTAACTTGGCGCTGGCTAATGCAACCCACCATTCAATTTGATTGGTGCTGGGTTAATTTAGTCCAGAGACTAGGTAAAAATTACCTGGTCCAAGTTAATCACTTCGATCGCCCTATTCATTATCTTTTAATTTATTAAAATATCGGACGAGTAAGGAATAAACAGAAAACTTGTTTTATTTTAAAATTTTTTCAAAAGTCAATAATATTAAGGAACCACTAAAACAAAAGCTAATCGAGACCTTCCTAAGAATAATTTGCATCGTTAGGGGTTGGTCTCCCGTCAGCTGCTTGTTACGTGGCGTGCAAAATTTATTTCTTTGGGCATGTTGGTATGTGTTTGGAACGCCCGCACAAATTCGCACGCCCGACGAAAAGCAGACGTTGATAGTACTCGCATGTGGGTGCTATGCTATGTGCGTCTATGTATGTGCCAGGGTGTTAAATTAGCTCCGGCGGGGGGTGATTTAGGGCGCTGCGTCTGCCAACATTATCACGCACACAAACTGCGTGTGGTGTTTGCCAGCGAGAGCAGCACACGCGGCGCGCATTAGCGCGAAAAACAATAGCAGTGTGTGTGTATGTTTGCCCGACACATGCCGAGCCACACACTCTTGATATCGGGCGTAAATTTGCGAAATCGTGAATTAGCACAAACTATTTGTGTAACCCAGACAAACTCTGCCCTTCTCTAATGTAACACCAGCAGATGGAGTGGGGATGCTGCCATTGTAAATTTAAATTTGTCTTATATCTGATCGAGATATGATGAGCATAATTATAGCAAATGTCGCAAAATTTATTGTAAGAAGTCGACTTTGACATACCACATGAAAATGAAGCATAATATTTCATTTTAGTTTTTTGTTTTTCATCTGAGTAAATTGTAATCAAATTGTTGATTAGTGTGTTTGACAGAAATAAACTTCATATTAATAAATGACATAATTTTAATAATTTTTAAAAGTTTTGCTGAATAAATTTAATTTAAGTAAATACTATAATATTATTTGGTCCAAAAATTCAATACAATCTGTGCTTCGTTAAATTTGAAATTAAATCCGCAAGTGTTGATTGTTAAAATAAATCTTGGAAGTCAATAAAAAAATCAAACATGAACATATGATTGATAAATTATTTCCTTGAGAAATTAAGTTTAATGAAATAATTTGAATCAAAAAGATAAAAAAAAATCCAACTCGACCAGCCATATGACCTTCCTTTTTTGTCGTCGTAGACTTGGGTGACAAAACTGCTCCTGCCTTTTGTGCTGCTTCGTTGAGGGCAAAAAGACGGCGGTGCAAGAAAAAGACACAAAATCCCAAGGCGGCGAGTCGTTTTGTCGTCGCGAGATTTTTCATATAGTTTAGCTACAGCAGTGGTCACCAGAGGAATGGCGTCTTCACACTTTTCGCCGCTGACGAGACAAGGCGGAATATTTTAGGCAAAAAATATCAAATATAGAGGCCACGAACTCTAAATTCTCTCTTTCGCATCCATCTCTCTTTATGCTCTCTTTTTCTGGTATATTCAATAATACAAATCGAAAATCAATAGAAAATTCCCTTTTTATACTTGCACGCGCAGGCAGCAGTCATTTCGGCCACTCGGAGCCTCTTTTGTTTGTGTTTTACATTCGCAGACGGCAGAGCCAAAGATTTTCCTTTTTTCGCCTTTTTGCTCTCTCTATTACATTATGCGAAAGAGGCGGATGTATTTCTCTCATATCGAATCTGTAATGTCTTCTTTTGCGCTCATCCTCCTATATGCTTTTTATTATTGCAAATGGCGTTTCTTCTCTCGTGTGTATAACTTTTGCACTCGGATCGTTGCCGATTTTCCAGCAAAATGGAAACACATGCACGACTCAATGAAGCGGAGTGTTTCTCAGAAAAGCAATCTGGCCTGTCAGCACTATCGGAATACGCATTGAGCCTTGCAGTGATGTTGCTGCCAGGTTTTGAAGACGGCCGGAAATATTATAATCTTGAAAAATATACAAAAATAAAATGCAATATAGCCCAAAAGTTGGGTTAGCAAATAGATATACTGATATTAGGTTAAAAACTTTCAAAAAGTCTGGGTAGTGGTAGTGGGTGGAAGGAAAGATATTTGCAACATTGAAATTCAAAACTTTGGGTTTTCTAAAATCTCCTCTCCTTACAAATGAGGTAAGAATTTTTTTTAATCCGACAAGGCTCACTAAATTTGTATTAAAATAGTTATAATAAAAGGTTCTTGATTATAAATTATTAACAAAAGGTCAAATTTAATTTTATTTACTCCTTTATTCATTTTTCAATTTGACGTATACAACTGCATTTCATTGAATAAATAATTTAAATACTGAAAAAAACATGAGCACTTACATTAAATGATCTTTACTAATGTGACGCTTCAGGAAATTTTTCCATTTAAAAACTTTTGAGCACATTTCACACCGGAACTTTGACATTTTGCAGCCTTTTTGGTGGGCGAGTAAAGCACCCCTGCAGCTGAATCTGGCTCCGCACTTGAAACAGGAGACCTTGGTAATGTGGTAATTGAAAACGCCAGCTTTGATTTTAGTCCTGCAAGTGTAGCACTCGCGTAACTTGTGAGCCAGGTAAAGATGGAGATTTAAACTCGCCTGGAATTTATATATGGCTGGACATTTTGAACACCTGATGGGTTTTTTCTCACTTTTGTAGTGTTTGGAAAATTTGTGTTTCAACAAGTACTCTTTGTCCCTAGCTTTGTAACTGCAAAAATGACAAGTGAATTTGTTCTTTTCCTTGTGCTCCTTCTCAAAATGCAAGTCCAGATCAGCTCGAGTTTTAAAATATACTCCGCATCTCTTAATTTTACACTGATTTACTTTGGTAGGGTGGTTGTGCCGAGCATGGTCGTACAACTGTTTTCTGGGCAGGGCAGTTTCAGGGCAGTCATAGAGAATTTTCTCTTGTGGGGCCATATGGAATTTTTCAACATGCAATTTTCGGTCTTCCTCAGTCTTGAAAAAGGTGACGCACAGTTTGTGAAAGTCACACTTTAAAGCTACATGCTTGTGCATTCGATTAACATGCAAGACTAAATTATTTGAGTTGACATAGTGTTTCAAACAATAGATGCACTTTGCTGTTTTCTTTGACTTCTTTCCTTGGCCACTCTGTATTGAGTTGCACTGAACTCTTTTCAGCTTTTCCAAAGACACCCAGCACTGCTTCAATTTTGCATCTGTAACAAATAAAATTAATAATATGTATTATAACAAATCAAATTTAAACGACAAAAGCATTATTTTTAGTTTGAAAGTTGATGAAGTTATATTATTAAGTACAAAAAGTTATAACTTTACTACTAATAATTTTCAAACCACAGGTCCTTGGAGGTTTGTCTGATTTTTCAGCATAGTAAATTTTAACCTCAAAATAAGTTAATTCTCGTTTTTATCTCAGAAAATTTGTTTTAAAACGGCTATTATATTTTAGACAATATAGAAAAGGCTCTGAAGTTAAAAAAAAAATACTTTTGGCTGGAAAAAGTGAACCCTCATGATTGCACATTTTAAGATCGCGAATTCAAATTTATCCATAGAAAAATAGACTTTCGTGTTGAGAAATTTACAAAATTGAATCAGTTAATATTATGTAATACTAAAATACATAAAAATTTGGACACATAAAAAACAATTAACAATATTAATAATTATTGTACCTGTATAGTTTTCGTAAATCATCATTGGAACTTTCTGCAGAACTTCATCTTTGGGCCACCAACAAATTGTGTTATCACAGATGCCATTATCCAATAAAAACCTAGAGCGAAAAAATATTTAATTCCACTTCGAGGACAAAATTTAAAGATATTTACTTGGCATCCCATGTGCAAAAGTAGCAAATCATGTCGTCATCCCTCACATTTTCCGACAAAGACGTCCCCAAGAAGATCAAGCACCATTCGTGCAGTTTTTGCAAGTCCAGTTCGGCCGCCAGGTAGCCGCCGTCGGCCACTGGCCGCTCGCAAAGTCGACACAATTCAGGAAACATCTCTATGGGGGGTCACATCATCTGTTTCTACCGCCGAACGCGATTCACGCGATTGTTGTTGTTTACAAAAGCATGGTGGCCGGGGAGGGGAGGAGCTAATAATTTTTACGGGGAAAGGGCGCGAGACAGCCACGTGGCCACGCACTTGTAAAATTTTAACACACAACCATATGATACATACTGACAGTATATTAAAAGAAAAAAAAGCAATTAGCAATTGATATTAAATTTTACAATTTTATTCTGATACGAATACTAAAACTGTGTTAAAAATTTAATTTAATTCACTTTTCTTTCGGTCAAGTACCAAATTAAATTAATTAAATTTCCAAAGTGGATCAAGTGACGATTTCAATATAACGTCGTTTTTTCCTCAATGGTTTTGTGAGTTGTTTATTATTTAAGAAAAAAACAATATACTGCTCTACATGTTTTGGCTGCGACATGTTTCAACAATAAACAGCTCAGAAAACCCACCGAGCAAATATTTTAAAATTTGAAACACCACGAAAAAAAAATTGGTCCAAAAAGCCCTAATTCCGATGATGTTTTAAGAAAACTATGGATGTAGGTATTAATTTTTCATTTAATTGTTAGACCCAAAATGCTAATTTTCTTCTTTTAAATTTGATAGTCAACATTTAGAAAATTATTTAATGGATAATTTTGCTGATATAAAATTTATTTTAGTATAATTATACAGATGAACTCTTCATTAACTTTGAATTCATGATTTTCTTCTAATTTTATTGAGCACAAATTAACAAGGAATTCCTGCTGTAAAAATTTTAAATTCTTGACAATGAATCGAATAAATCATCATTTTTTTTTCAATTTATAAATGAATTAAATAGTACTTTTTTTCCTTTTTGTTCCTTAACTTTTATTAAAACAAAACAATTCCAAGAAAAGATTTTTGTGGCTAATCCTCGTCTTTGCTGCTTTGTTTGGAGACGAGCGCCGTTTAGGATTATATATATTTGTGTCGCAAACAAAGGTGTGGTTGGTCGGTTAGTGTGTGTTCAGTGCTGGAGACGTGACTTTGGCACCATTCTGACAGATTGTGTCATCCAGGCGAGCAAGCAAGAGAAACTAGCCGCAAAGAGAGAAACAAGCAACGGAGCGAGAGGGCGGAGGATTTCCCGGACATCCTGAGACAGAATTACCGTCCCTTTTGACATAATGAGTTGCCAAGGCAACAAGACACGAAAGAGAAGAAGAGAGCAGAAGCGAGTAATCGGCCTTGCCATCGAAAGCCACGCGCACCGGCTTAGCAATTTCTGCCGAAGAGGAAGAAAATATTATTAGAATTATTTGGGATTTGAAAATTCAGATAAATATTATTTGATTATTTGTGCATCAATTTAATTCATAATAATATACAATTCAATGGTTATGCGATTATAATTTGACTCAAATATCAATTGCTTGGCGCTTTCTGAATGACTGAAATTGCTTCTTGAAAATACTAAATTCGGCTGCAAAAAGAGGTACGTTTCGCACCTAATTTAACTGGAAATTCAGCATAAAATGGCTTAAAATTTCACAACTTGGATTTTTTGTCAATTCACATTAAAATTGAAAGTTTTAGTAATATACCCTATTTTCACCTAGTTTTGAAATAAATATGGAATTTTTAAATTATTGATTTTCATTATAAATGAAAGTTAGAAGAAAATCCCTGTGCGCATGAGTCGTGTATTTTCGACATATTATACGTATATTATACGCATAATTTTGGTATAGCCTAGATGGTGTATAGACGTATATTACACGTCTAAAATGTCCGTCTAATATACGTGTAATATGCGCATAGGCCTACACCGTGTACGCTAAACGCTTTTTATGCGGCTTTTATACCTCTTTATATTTTCGCGTTCTTTTTATATTTCTATTAATTATTTCAGCAGGTATTTTCGTAATTATCATTGAAAGTCAAATTTATAGCAATATTCGTTTTATTTAAATAGCTCTCACGTAAATTCCATATATCACAAAAATTTCCAAGTATTAACACAGAAAGTAATTTAACATAAACAGTTCCATACCATTAAAGAACAAAATACATCGAAGATCGAAGAACAAATTAAAGAGTTAGATGGTTAATTAAAATTTTTGCAATATAAATTTGAGATATTTTTAACACTATATTTTCCATTAACTCCATGCAAAAAGTACAGAGATTTCTTAAATTATCCCCACTAAATCAGGTACGATACTACTTTTATTTTTAGTAACTAAAGCAGTACCGAATACAACATTTTTGAATTAAAAGATTTTTTTAAGTATTACATTACCTACAAATAACTAAGTGGAAGACTGCATAATAAAGGAATACACTATTTAATTTAAGCCCCCCCAAAAAAAAGAGTTCATAAATTAAACAAAACCAGCAGCACACATTTAATGAATGGTATATCATTCCTTCCTCTCTTTTTTGAAGGGAAAATTAAAAATATTAATTAGTTCAAAAGAAGCTCAAGCGTCATTAAAAAAGCGACGGCTAGGCCAGATCATGACAATTTTTTCATGAATAGCGTGCTCACTTTGGAGGTTCAAATAGTATCTGATTGAACATCACTTAAATTATGGAAGTCAATAAAATAATTTTCAAAATTGTCTTCGTTATAGAGTTTTCAGAATTGTATATCTTCTTATTGCCCCGTCTTCATTTTTCTGCTCTGCCTTGGCGCTGACTGGCTGTTGGCAAGTATGTCTATTTCAGTGGCATCACCATTGCAATCTTGCTGTTTCTCTACAATGAAAAAAAAATCTTATTAAAGAGTGCAAAATTTGAATATTGTCAATATATTATTTTTTTTAAATCCGTGTTTCATTGCGGAAGCTTTTAATTTAATTTGAGTATAGTTAAAAGTAATTAATTAAAAAATTCCCTTTTTCTCTCTCCATTCATCACTTTTAAATTTACTCATATCAAATTCACAAATAACTTAATTTTTATTTTTTTTTTTAAATTTCAACATTTTCTTTGAACTAAATTAACAGATATTAGATTTACTAAACCGCAATCCACAATTAATAGTTATTTATATTGCCAATGTGTTTATTGACATTTTTTAATATTCTTTTACCTCAGATATATTTGTTGTCCATTTAACTCTGACGAGAATAATGGGTACGCAGCTCATCGTCCATATTTCTTGATCTGAAAACATTTAAAAAGATTAGTTTAAGGCCATTTTTGTCAGATAATTTATTCTTTAAATTTTTTTCAAATAACATAATTATCTAAAAGTTATATTCAAATTACAACTGTTTTAGTCTACTTTTCTTTTTCTCTTTTAATTATACTCGTAAATTCTAAAGCTATTTGCCGCACTGTTTTTGCCGACGCTCAAAAATAGAGCAGCAGCAAGTTAGAAGTCAGGGTAGGCAATACTGCGAGGGCGGAGCATAGGGTAGGTAGGATCTAGGATGCTTGAAAAAGTTTAAGGAATCTCCGCCATCGAGGGGATGCGCTGGTGTGCCGGAGTTGAAGGAGGCACATTCTTAATAAATTCAAGAATAAAATTGTTATTGCTAATTAAGTGCCGATTGGTTACTTTTTTGGAATTAGATTTTGTGAATATTGGAAAATATATTGATTTGATGCAAAAATTTATATATGAAAAAAGTTTGACAAAAAAGACAAAAATAAATAATTTACTAATGAAAGCTATGCGCGCTGCTTTATTCACAAATATTTTTTTTTAAATTAATTTTGACAATATTCAACAATAAATCAAAACTCAACAGTTTCGCCTCAAAAATAAACAGTAAAACTTATAGCCTAAAACTGAAATTTAATCGTAAGCAAAATTGAAAGCATTGAATTTGAATTAAATTTCATATAAAGAGAAAACATAATTATTTAACATACAGAAACGAGTCTGTAAGGCTATATATCTGAATCTTGAGATTTCAATAAAGTAGATAAAGGCAGATATATATGTAGAAAGAAAAGTATTAATTACCTTTGAAATTAAAATTCCATTTGATGAGCTCAAAAAACACGCAGTGATTTCTTGAACGTCCTCACAAGTGTGTTGTTGGTTTGTTTGTGCTGCTGCTGCTGCGTGATGCGCTGCTCTGTGCGGTTTTGCTATAGTTGACCACTTGGCAACTGCCAGGAAGAACCTTTTCCACCCCCTCTTTGATACAGCAACTCCAAAATTTTACATCCCCATTGTAGGACACGGTGGCCGCGAGCAAGCGGAGCAAACAATCGGCCTGCAAGCGAGGAGGGAGAGATTTCAAAGGGTATTTTTCAACGACTGATGCTTTTTCTCCCAAACAAACAAGAACATATTTCACGAGAGTTTGGTCGCCTGCTTGCTCGCTCGCTGTTTCTATATTATTCATTTTTTTATTTTATTTATTAAATTGATTTATTTTTTCTATTTTTATTTTAAATTCTTTTGGAGTACTGTGCTAAAAACAAAACTGTGCTTATTTTAGAATGTACCATTTAAAGTCAATGTCAAAACCTTTTGCACAATACATTACACTTTGCATTGCACTTTACACACCTGGCACCTTTATTTTAGTCAGTGGGTCTCAACGCGCTGCTGACCGTTCTGGCTGGCGCCTGACCGTGCTGCTCATTTGGCACTATTAGCGCCGCGAATGAGTAAATTATTTTGCTCCTGGAACGCTAGACTTCCCCTGCTTTTCGAATAAAATTTGAAATTATGAATGGATTGGAATTTTTGAAAAATGATTTCAGGAATGGAATCGGCAAAAACAATTTGTTTTTATAAGAAATTTTGAATTCAGTTCTAGCAATCAGATTATAGCAAAATAATTTTTAAGAATTTATTAAATAATTATTATCATTCATAATTAATTTTTATTTTCTTTGTTACATTATTTTACTAAAATTTAATAAATTCCTTTGCTTAGGCGTGGTGCCGTTACTAAATTAAATAAGCAACAATACGTCCTTTGAAGGATTAGCAATTTTTTTTTTAATAGTTACGCGATGGTTGTATTAAATTAAAAAAAATTAATGATGAAGGAGAATAAAAAATTAATAGTTTGTGAGAAATTCAT